ACGTTGATGATTACAAAAACGGAACTCGGCGTTTTCATACTTTTTTTATTAGCTTAACTGTAGTTTCATGTTATAATCTGTTTAGTCAAGTAGGTTTTCATTTTTGTCATCTGTGAAACCATGGAGCTGTTTTATGGAACTGATGCATGTACCCTCCAGAACACCTGCGTTGCGGCACAGATTATATGACAGTGCTGATTAGTCATAATTCACCAAAGCTATATTCTCAATGTTTCATTTTTTGTTTTTGTTTTTGTTTTTTTAATTGGCATTCACTTTCAAAAAGATAGTAATTTCCCACAAACAAACATGGCCGGAGACAAATGGCAAAGGAAAATCAACACATCATGAAGGAACTGATAGCTTAGAGTCTTTTAAATAAAATTATATATTTTTTCATTGAGAATTGTCGATTATATAAATAAAATATACAAGCCAAGATAGGAAATAATATAACAGAAAATAATACAATACAAAAAATTAATATAGATTGATCTTCAACCCTTAAAAATAACTAATTTATAGCTAGTATATCTCAATAAAAATAAAAATAAAAAGGCAAAGAATCTCCTAGCATTAAATTTATAGGTATTTCCTTTGATATCCTCCTCAAATTGATATTGGTAAATCGACAAGCATCAATTTGCCAGTAAAGAAATGATGGTTCAATTTGCCAGTAAAGAAATGATGGTGCTAGCAGGATATGGATTTGGTGAAGATATCTATGATTTGAAAATTGGTGGAGATATGTGTAAGAGTGATAATGTGATGATCATATGCTTCTTTGATTGAGTAACAGTTAGCCTTAATGTGCTTGGCGTGTTCGTGATAGGCAGGGTTGATCGTAATTTGGATGGCACTAATATTGTCAGCATGAAGTGGAGTTGGATGAACTGGATAGAAACTGAGTTCTATAAGGAGACCACATAGCCAAATGATCAACAGATATGACTCAGTACTCTACTTTAGTAGATGATTTGGAGAAGTAGTCCTATTTCTTGCATTTCCATGAGATAAGAGCATCACCAAGAAACATACACTAGCCGATAATAGATTTTCTGGTATCTAGACAATCAGCCCAATCAACATCACTATAGACTTATAGTCGAAGTGAAGAACCTGTAAGGAAGAATAAGTCACGATCGGGTGTGCCAAAAATATAGTGAATTATACGGTGGAAAATAGATAGATGAAGATGCCTTGGTGCTTACATGAATTTGTTGATAGTGTGAACAACATAAGAAATGTCTGGTCGAGTAATAATTGAATAAATAAGACTACCAACTAGCTTCTGATAGATAGTAGGGTCATCAAAAAGCTTCCCTTCATCACAACAATATTTCACATTAAGTTTTGTGGGGGTGTCAACCGAAGTTGTAAGGGCGCTTAACTGAACTAGTTCCTGACTATACTCGTGCTGATACAGGAAGAGACTATGAGGTTGATGATGTACTCCCAAGCCCAAGAAATAAGTGAGTTGGCCAAGGTCTTTCATATGGAATGTAGAATGCAACAAAGTCTGAATTGCATGGATTACCTCCAAGTTAGAGCCATCGATGACGATATCGTCCATATAAACAAGAAGGATAATGATACCTATGGATGTCTTTCATAGAAAGAGTGAGGAGTTATATTGACTTTAAGTGAAGAAGAAACCTAGCAATGTGGATCAAAACTTGTCAAACCATACTCTCGGTGCTTGCTTCAAACCATATAAAGAACATTTCAGTTTGCAAGCATCATTAGATGAGGAAGTGGATACACCAGAAAGAAGTTTCAGGTAAACATCTTCCTTGAGATCACCATGAAGGAAAGCGTTATTGAAATCCATTGGATATAAGGGCTAGGATTGAGATGCAGTAAAGACGAGTATAGTTCGGACAGTGGTCATTTTGGCAACTGGTGTGAAACTCTCACACAGTCCAAACCATATTCCTATTTATTGCCAAGTTCCACTAACTGAGCCTTATAATGGTCTATGAACCCATCAAAACGACGCTTGATAGAAAATATAAATTTACTGCTAAAGGGATGTATAGATGAGGGACATGGAACAACATCTTATGTTTGGTTTTTTTCAAGTGCAAGAAGTTCAATTTCAATAGCTTTTCGCCAACACTCATGCTCTATTGCCTATTTATAAGATGAAGAAAGAAAAGTAGAAGATAAGGTGGTTGTGAAGGATGAGGGAGGATAATAACCATACCTATCTGGGGGTCTACAAACCTATGTACTTTATCGAAGAGAGGGAGTTATAGTTGCTAGAACAGAAGCAATAGTCGGGAAAGGAACTTAAGGAGGCTCGAGAGGGTCTAAAGGCTGGGAGAAAGTAATAGATAAGTGTCTGTAATATATTAAGAGAGGCTTACAAAGGACTGGAGCTGTAAAAGAGTTAGTAACCATAAGCAAAATAGTAAATGATGGAAGAACAGGATCCTGATGCATAGAAAATAAATATTGCTATTCTAGAAAGATCAAATTTCTAGAAATTGAAATATGATATAGATCTAGGTTATAACAAAGAAAACCTTTTTGGTGTATTAAATATTCTATGAAAGTACATTGAATTGATTAAGTCGTGAGTTTTGTGTGTTTATGTGCAGGAAGATGAATATAAGAGACACAACTGAAGGTACGGAGGTTAGAATAAGTTATAGGATAACCAAACAACCTAATGAAAGAAGTGTTGTGGTTCAATATGGGGAAAGACAATTTGTTGAAGAGGTGGAAAGTAGTAGAGAGCTTTACACAAAAAATAAGAAGGTGTAAACGATTGTAATAATAGAGTACGAACAATATAAAGAAGATGGCGGTTCTTTCTTTCAACCACCTTATTTTGATGAGGTGTTGAAGGGCAAGGTTGTTGAGAAATGATGCCATGATGCTGTAAAAAGTCCTGAAACAAATGAGACATATACTCACCCCCATTGTTAGAACGAAGAATTTTGATTTGGGCTGAAAATTGGGTCTGGATATTTGCATGAAAAATCTTAAAAACAGAAAATGTTTCATTTTTAGAATGAAGAAAACAAATCCATATGAAACGAATACAGTCATAAATAAAAATGATAAAGTATTTGTCATTATCATGAGAAGTGACTGATATCATACCCTATACATCACTATATATCAAATCGAAAGGCTGGACTACATGTGGTATGTGAATAGGAAAGGACAAAGTTTTAATTTTGCCAAGCCTGCAAGAATTGCAATCAAACTAAATAGCACAAGAGATGGTGAATCTATATTTCCAATAAATTTTAATAAATCATAAATAATATTAGAGTTTGGATGATCACGATGTTTATGCCATGCTTGGTAATAAATATGACCAGAATTACAAGTGACAAAGGCCAAAGAAAAAAAAGATAAAGGAAATTGAAGAGGAAAAAGACATCCCACTTTAGGCCCCTTCGCAATCATCCTCCCTAATTGTTGATCCTGCGTAAGACCAGGTGATACAAAAACATCAATGAGAGAGGGAGAAACATCACCAATGGTCGTTATAGGTAAATGAATGTCATCAACAGTATGAATTTTGAGATGTCTAAAATATTCATTGACATTAGTAAAAGAAGCAACATTGTTTGTCATATGATTGAAAGCTACGAAATCAAAATACCAAGAAGATGATGTAGAAAGATTTTTACCTGAGAGATCCAAAGCTGATAATGCAGAAATGATCATTTGTTGAATCATGTCAGGAGTCACTAATTGGACAGGAGTAGGAGCACTTTGTGTTAGAGGTGAAGAGCCAACTAAGAAAGTATATATTGTCTTTTTTTTCTTAGGAGGTCGAGTAGGGCATTCTTTGATGATATGACCATTTTTTTTGTAATAATAGCAGAATTTTTAGGGACAATTTGCAGCATACAACAAAAGCACTGAATAATGCTCATATCCCAGTCTTTTAGCTTACCTTGTGTTGCATAGGCCACAATAATAGATATAGATCGTCGTTGTTCCATAGTGGTTTGAGTGAGAAGACGTTGTTCTTCTCAAAGGAGGTCACTATGGCATGTATCCAAGAAGTGAACAAATCCTTGGTTCATCAGGTTAGATCTGGTGCCTTTAAATTCAGGTTTTAGTTTCATTAGAAATTGATCCTATTAAGTAATTTCATGAACAGATTGAATAGAGCTAAGACCTTCGAAGGGTAAACCAACATAAACTATATTAGTGTATTCAATCCAAATATTAGTGAGTCTAAAGTAAAAATCAGAAATAGAAAAATTATCGTATTAAAGAGTGCTCAAGCAGTGTTTTATTGACTGCAAATTTTTTTCATGTAATTCCATATCTGAGCTGTAGTCTAAAAGGATCAAAGATTCAAGATGATGTTAGGTTCAACAGATACTAAGATCCAAACCATGACTTGAGCATCCTTCACTTCCTACTTGATGTACTGGTCTATGTCTTTGATTTTGTCAGGAGCTGGGTTATTTCCATCAAAATGCCCCCACAGCTCCTTACCTTTGACAAAAATCATGAAATGAAACGTTAAAGCAGAGTAGTTCTTGTCATTGAAATGAATCATAAAAACATGAAACTTATCTAAATATACGAGGTTAATAGAATGTTGATCAAGAATAACTAAAACTAAGAAATTTGATAGCAAATAATAATTCAGAGTTGTAGCTTTAATACCATGATAGTTTAGAGTCTTTTGAATAAAATTGTATGTTTTTTTATTGAGAATTATCCATTATTTAAATAGAATTTACAAGTTAAGATAAAAAAGAATACAACAAGAAATAATATAGGCTGATACAATAAATAATACAAGTTGATTTTTAGCCTTTAAAAATAGCTAACCTACTCAATAGTATATTTCAATAATAATAATAATAGTAAAATAGATAAAAAATCTGCTGACATGGAATATATGCGTGAATTTGAACATTGCTTACGAAGTACTGCTTGAATGTCCAGTTTGAAGGAACCACGTTGAGGGTTGTTACGATCTTCCCATCACTGGTTTGGAGTTTGAAGGACAGACTCTAACTATTTAGATAGCTTAGGCTCTGCCAATTAGCACCGCAATTTCTTGTCATGGCTTCCCATTTATTGGATTTAGACCATAGTTTTTAAACCCGGCCCGGTTTAAGGCTCGGATTTCAGGTTTTGATCGGGTCGGCTGGGTCAATTTCTATTTTAAAAAATTCAAAATGGTGTCATTTTAGTAAAAAAAATAAATAAAAGTCAACAGGTTGCAACCGGGTTTTGTTGGGTCGTCCGGGTTTCCGGGTCAACCCGCCGGGTCGGCCGAGTCACGTCAGGTCATAGCTTATCCTATTTTTTCATCAACCCGACTTAGTTCCAGCCCCGGGTCGGCCGGGTTGACCCGCCGGGCTGAGCCGGGTTTCAAAACTATGATTTAGACACATGGTCCATGCCTTAGAGATCTCTCCAGCTCCCCCGACACTTGATATAAGCACCAGCTCAAAGTAGCTCCCTCCATTGAGGGTAAATCTGAAGCCTCCCCTTCTCTTGCATGTCACCCTGATATACCAAAACCGTTTAAATCAACAAGCCACCGCATAATTAAATACTATTCTCGGAACGGAAGAGCACTGAGTATTGATGAGAACATACTTTCTGTAGAGAAACGGTACAATTCCAGCTCTGGACTCGGCTATAGCCTGGAAGACAGGTCGAGACAAGTCAAAGTGCGGTCGAGGAGGATTGCACCATCCTCCGTTGTCACTAGCAGGACGATAGTTAGGCGGACAGTAGTTAGTAGCAGTAATGGTAATGGACTTAGCCTTAAGGCACCATTGAGCGTCACTGGCTGCATCACAAACTATCTGATAGCACCGGCCGCCACATGACTCGCCATCATTGAACAAAGCTGTGCTCAGCGCCGCAGTGTTTATTCCATAACCATCAGTGTAAAGGTTTCCGTATCCACAGGCACCATCTAATTGGGCATCATTTTGAACAAATATTGTATGATCATAAACTGCATTTGTCGATCACAATTATTTAGCTCTTTTCTGGTAAATGAACTATAGAGAGTTCAGGTAAAGACATTTTGACTTATAATTGAACGAGCACTTACTCATTGCACTGGAACCATCACTTCCAACATAGAAAGTTGCATGTGCACGTTGCCATGTCGCCGAGGCGCGTACTTGAGGTTGTTTGCAGAAGAGACCAATAAACAAGAAGATTGCACAGCTGAAAATAGAAAGATATGCCATTGTCTTTTCTGAGAAACAAACAAGGTTGGTTGATGTAATTATTGTTGCTATCTTTGATATAGACGATGATGTACACCGCTGCTATTTATAATAACTGCTAAATCTTCGTCTGCTCCACAAAATGTTCGCATGCAATTTGAAAAAAAAAGAATTGAAATCTGGCTCTAATCATGTACTTGATTGTCTGAATTCCGTTCTGTAATCATCGTCTGTAGCAATATTCAACAAAAACCATTAGAAATTGAGTTATTCCGTTCTGTCTGAATGCCCCAGATATTTAACCGGGGAAGAGAGAAATTGTCCCATTTGTGTTTTTTTTATTGAACTCTATGATAATTACAATAAATATTTAAATAAACTCCAACAATCTATATTATAAACAAAAAAATATATTTATTTAATCAAAATTATTTGTTTATTCATCTATTTTCTTTTTTTTTAACAATTGTTTTTATAGCAACATAGTTTTTTAAATAAGGAATTGAGACAACTAAAATAAATATTTATAATAAATTTTATTCACTAAAAACTCAGGATTGAATAATTTGAACCCCAAATCTAAATTGTAATATATTTTCACCTAAAAATATAATAAAAATCTCAATAATTACATTTTTAACTTCAAAAATAGCTTCTATTCAATCTAAATATAAAATCAAATTGAATCAAGAAAAACTTTAAGAATTATGATGTTTTTTCTTCTTTGCATGATTAAAGGTCTAAACAAGTTTGATTGAACTTTGTTAGACATTAATATAAAATTAATTATTCTTAAGATTTTACTTAACAATTTAAATTTTTAAGTTAATAAGGTTTTTTGATATGGTACTATAGCTTTGTTATCAAATGGTTATGAGTTCAAATCTCATCACCTCCGTTCTAATTAACAATAACTAAACACAAATTAGTCTAGACACAAAAGAATGTGTTATAGATTAACATAAAATTATTTTTAAAATCTCACCTAACAACTTAAACTTAAGTTAAAATGATTGATTTATATAGTTTTTCAACATAATATTAGAACTTTATTAATTAATCAATTATAAATTTAAATTTTATAACCCTCATTCTATTAAATAAAAAGTGAGTATAAGGCTGTATGAGTTTCAAATCCAAAAAATATTTGAAAGAATATATTTGAAAGAATATATTAAGAAGAAATATAAATTTAAGGTTCGTTTATCTCCGAGATTAATCCATTGACACCAGATTGTCTAGTTGTATGAAATCATTCTCTCTCCTCTTCATTTCTAACAACTTCCTCTCTCCAATCTTAACTTTAAGTAATTAAAATATTATAAAAATAAAAATAAAGATTTAAAGCTGAAATGTCAACACTAAAGAACTACAAGGATAAAAGTGTATTTGTCTTTTTCTGAACTCAGGAACAATCAAATTTGCATTGCAGAAGAGCAATACAGTCCATAATAACGCAACGAGAGAAGTTCCAGAAACCAAACAGTGAACTCCTAGTTTACTTTTCCATCATTCTCAATTTTGTTGAGCATTGGTTATCGGTGCTCAAGAAACCGCATTCCAATTTATAATAAATCAATTTTTTAGTTTAGAATTGTTTTTAGGATATTGTTTGAAATTATAAATGAAATTTAATTACTAAAAATTACCAAAAATAAATTAAGCATGAGATCTTTTGATTTGTTACAGTAATTTCTTTTGAAATTGACATTAAAAACAACATTTTAACTGCAAAAGAGATGGCAGAGGGTAAGCACAGTGAACCCACGCTTGGAACTGAAGATAAAATTTAAAATGTCTCTGAAATAAGTTCTTGATTTTCCCCCTTAAATAGAACAATCATCAAAATATAGTCCACGTACGAGAGCAATTAACAATTTGCAGACTTTTTAAAACAAATATACAAAAATTCCTAAGTTAAAAGGGCCAGCATCATTCTCATCTTTTACTTAGAATGAAAAAAAATTCTCTGCCACCAAATTTATTTGGTACTGATTGAGTTTATTCTAAGATTTGAGCCGTACAGGGGTATTTTCAAATCAGGTTGTATATTTATGAGAGCGTAGTAACGATTGTTTTTTAAATATTTTTTATTTGAAAATATATTAAAATAATATTTATTTTTATTTTTTAAAAATTATTTTTGATTATTAATTTAAAATAAAAAATAAAATTTTTTAATTTTTTTAAAAAATACTTTCAAAAAACAAAAACAAATCAAACATAAATAATTAAGGCTATCTAGCTCAGTTCAATGCTCCAAACGCTCCTATAGGTAGACTGAAAAATTCACATATAAATGGTAAAAACAATATAAGGATAGTAGTTAAAAAACACTAAATAAATATAATAGTTCTTACAATAAACAAAAAATTATTTCAGGGAAAAATAATTAAAATTGTTAATTAATTTTTTTTACAAGTATTCTAATTATAGTAGGTTATTAATTGAATTTAAATTATATATAAAATTCATTTAAATTCAACTGGTGATTTGATTTGAAAAAAGCTGTAAATTAAAAAATATATATATACAATAATGCAAAACATAAGTGAGAAGATGTGAGTGCTCAAGCACCTGCTATCAAATACCAAAGATTATGTCTTGTTTTATTTAATATTTTCTCTCGTATATGAATTAATCTCTCAAACAATCTCGGGTAGTAATAAGAATTCCGAAAGTCGCAAATGAGGTTCTGGCCTAGTGGTGGAAGGGACTTGTCCCCTTCCTCCGTACCTGGGTTCGAATCTCACCATGCACGCCTGTCACTCTCGCGGTACCGTACTTGCTCACTGGACTTGCAGGATGTTCAGTGGACCGTGTGGATTAGTCGTGGTGCGCGTAAACTGACCCGGACCCCCCCCGTAAATCAAAAAAAAAAAAAAAGAATTCCGAAAGTCTAGCTTCCCTTTTATTTGAAATATCGTTTAACATGATCTCGGCCAATTATTCGAAAAATTGCGATAAGAAGATAAAGATATATCGTGGTATTATAGTGACAGTTTTTCCTTATTAAATTTATATCATTTCTAGTTAATTGTAACAAGAAAAAAAATATTAATTTATTACTTTGATAGAAATTGTTTTTTAATTTTTAATATAACCAATCAAAACCTTCTAAAAATATATAAAAAATAATTTTAAATTTTAAAAAATAGAGCACCGGCAACCACGTTGTAGAATCCGTGGTACGTTCATTTTTCCAGTACAGTTAGCTCGACGAGCAAAAGGAGACAACGAACACCTAACAGATGATTGAGGATTCTTGACTAAAATATTGAAAGTCAAATCAATAAAAAAAATTAAGATATGAATTATTTATAATTGATAATAAATATTCATAGAATATGCGTGTACAATTGTTCTCTGATCACGAGTCATACCTAGTTAGGGTGTCGCATATCACGGCATGTCTTCGGGGTAAGTTCAGGTACGTTTTGGCATCCAACATGTTCTGTGTGGATCAACCCAGTTTTTCTCGCCTAGTCTTGTATCTCCCTCGAACCACGCTGCTGAGGTGCTCATTACTCCAATTCGGCGGCTATTAAAATTAAAAATTAAAAAAACGCTGTATCTCTGGATAAAAAAAAAATTGTAGGCGAAAATAGTGTTTTTACTTTTTTTTGCTCTTCGAACAAAATAAATAAATATATTAGGCTAACTTCTTAGGGTAAAACGATTTACATAAGGAAATTCACCATTTTAAGATTAACTAATTTTTGAATACTAAATAACTTAAATAAATTTAAAAATAAAATTTATAAACCTTGTATAGATAAACTTTTTCGTATTTTATACTTTTATTCACAGAAAGATGACATACTTACCACTGAAATAGAAAATTCTTTAACTAAAAAAGCATAATAATTACCCTTGGAAGGAAATATCTATGCCTTTGGACAGAGGGCATTTTCTTCATTACATTATGATTTTTTTGTTATTATTAGCTATAATAAGAAATAATTTGATATTTTTATATTATAAAATATTAATTTAAATAAAAAATAGTCGACATGCTCGCATCAACCGCTCTACCATATTAAAGCGGCATGTGTGGTTGATTATTATGGCTAAAAATATCCTTCTACAATGGTATTTGAATCATCTTAATAGTCTCTTTTTTATTCGATAAAGCATGTAGTGAACAAATTTTTGGTCCGGTGCTAATCATTTTTTTTTCTTTTAAATTTGATCCTTATTTTTTTATTACTATTTATTTTATTTGAATTAGTTTATAAAATTATACTTGTTTTTAATTTTATTTTTCTTTGATTTTTTCATCTATTAGAATTGGTCCTTATTTTTTTATTACTAGTTGTTTTTATTTTATATTGATTTTTTTCCGATCACCCCCACTTTATTTTTTTTCTTTCATCTTGGTTCTTTCTATTGTTAATTTTTTTATACTTTCATAATTTTTTTTTAAATTGATATATTTTTTTTAAATTTCATCCTTCAATATTAAATTATTGATTTATATATGATTTTTTACTAATTTTTAAAATAAATATCAGGTGTTTTTATTTGTTATTTCTTTTTAGATCCTACATTTTTTTTTATCAAAATCCTTTATTAATTAAAATGAATTAATTAAATATAAATGGTGGTGTGCTAGTGTTCACAATGAAATAACTATAAGTTCTTGAAGGATTTTTTTTTTCTGAGATATTGGCTGTTTATTATGGTTAATTATGACTAATTTTTATTTATTTATTATCATTGATTTTTTTTAGATGATATTGTTAAATTAGTTAAATTTACTAAATTCAATCAAGTTAATAATTAGAATCTTGGATTTTTTATATTTTATTTTAAAAAATACTATGACTTTGACATTCTTTTATGTTAAAAAAAAATTAGTTCGCGTAATACTTAGAAGAGGTAACATAAATAAAGGTATGAGAAGAGTGGAAATGTTTATAATAATGCACGAAGCAGACCATTGCGCTTACACAAGTTTCTCCCCTTTCTCGGTGGGCTTAATCGTAAAATGCCAAGCCACGCCCAAGATGGTTTTTAATATAGACGTCCTAAAATACAGTGGACAAACCATAAAAAACAAATAGCACCATAACAAATTAAAGACGACAAGTTGCAAAGGGGAATAGGCACACTATCGGGAACTTTTGCAGCTATCCTGTGCATGATTTTTAGAATTAGAACTGAACATTGCTTTTGAAGGACTGCCCAAATACCCAATTGGAGGGTGCCACGTTGAGTGCTGTTCTGGTCTTCCCATTGCTGGTTTGGATTTTGAAGGACAAGCTCTGACCATTTAGATAGCTCAGGCTCTGCCAATTGGATCCCCAGTTTCTTGACATGGCTTCCCATTGGTTAGATTTAGACCCTTTGATCCATACCCGAGAGATATCTCCAGCTCCACCGACATTGGATATAAGCACCAGCTCAAAGTAGTCCCTTCCATTGATGGTAAATCTGATGCCTCCACTTCTTTTGCAGCCAACCCTGATGATGCACCAAGATTAATAAAACACGAAAACACATAATTCCAAAATTTCATGTCAAGAGACTCGGAATGGAAGGTGTTAAGTATTAAGAAGAACATACTTTCTGTAGAGGATAGGTACAATTCCAGCTCTGTACTTGGCAATGGTCTCGAAAGCAGGCTGAGACATGTCGAAATGTGGCCGAGGAGGGTTGCACCAGCCGCCATTGTCATTAGGGAGGTTATAATTTGGTGGGCAGAAATTAGTAGCAGTGATGGTAATATATTTACCCCTTAGACACCACTGAGGAACCTTCCTTGAATCACAGATTATCTGATAGCACCCGCCACATGACTTGCCATCATTGAACAAAGCCGTGCTCAGTGCCGCAGTTTTTATTCCATAGCCATCGTTGTAAAGGTTTCCATATCCACAGGCACCACCTAAATGGGCATCATTAACTCAAAACAGTCAGCGCTTTTTTGAACAACTGTATCATCACATGTTGCCCCGCAATACTTAATTTCCCTTGGAGTACATAGAAAGAGAGAATATTGAAAGTAAAGAAGCACTTACCCATTGTACCAGAAGCATCACCTCCCCCATAGAAAGTTGCATGGGCTTGTTGCCAAGCCGCAGAGGCTGAGTACTGAAACTGTGTGCAGCATATACCTAGGAACAAAAATACTGCACAGCTGAGAACAGAAAGGCTTGCCATAATATTATCTGTTCTCCAAGACAATGAAGGCTGGTTTATTTGCTATTGCTAGAGCTGGCTAGCTAGTTTAATTTGATAAAGAAGATAGCAAACTCGGCAACTATTTATAATCACTACTTACATTCTGTCGGCTCATTAAAATATCATTCAAGCAATGTGAAAAGGGGAGGAAATTGATTGCAACCATGTTGTCTGAGCGCAATATATTCCATAATCATTGAAAGGCAACAAGGGCGGTATTAGGCAATATCTCTATAAGCTTGAATTAATAAGTGAGTCTAGAATACTGTAAATTAATGTGTTTTTTTTCAGAGTCATTTTGATTATCTAGATGTGCAATACGTACAATCATGATATTATTTTTAAGTCTCTTGTATTATCACCGAACTAGTTTAAATATCAAAGTGAGCTCCAATTTAAAAATAAAAAAAAAAAGACAAAAAAGAGAGGTTAGGTGGTATCGATCTTCCCTATAACTTAGATCAAAGACAAGCTATCCACTCTCTAAGAAATTGACTTCTTCCAATGTTACTTCAAGATGCCTGTAAAGAACTTTTCTCTTGCATTTCCAATCATACTCCAAATTAACTAGAGTTTACGGCAATATCCATCATAATTATAATTAAATCAGGAATGTATAATTTTTCATAAATATATACATGCTGTTGTCACCTGAAACATGCATAAGCAAAGCAAAGAATTGATAAATGTTGAAGAAACATCTCAATTTAATAGTTTATACTATTAGATAAAATTTTAAAATATAATTTATATTATTTTTTAACATAATAAAAGCTTTTTGAACCTTAAACTTGAATAAATCTATATTATTTTATGTTTAATTTTTATCAAATAAATAGAGATAGTGAAATATAAACTCGTGACTACTTCATCATTAAAACTTTAATATTATATTAGAAAATTATCATAATCTAATAACTTAAATTAATAAATAAAGTAATATAATTTATATTATTCTCTAATAATAACATATCCCACATGCTATATCAATTCAAATTCTTAAAATAAAAAAATCATCTTAATTTTAAATTTTAAATTAACAAATATAATTTTCACTATTTTTTAATAATAAAGTATCAATTCAGATTATTGGGATGTGGACAATTCCAAAACCAGAACAAAAAGTTTGCTAGCAGTAGCTTGTAAGATTCGTGGTACGTTATAGTACAGTTGACGTGCCAATCACCAAGCAGCCAATAAACAATTGCAAGAGCGTTTTTTTATAGGTAACGCCAACTACATATAGTCTGCAACTAGACAACAGAACATTTCCATAACTAACGCCTAGCAAGGGTATGAATTGAAGGCCACAACTAAACTACTCAAAGTCAAATCGATGAAAAAGCATCAAATGTAACTTACAAATAATAATTTTCTTTTGTGCTCGCAACTGTACATGCAACCACTAGGTATATTTAAGAGCTATTATGACTTGTTATCAAGAAATAAACACATTTATGGAAGAAATTTAGGATAAAATACAAGTCAATTATATATATATGTACGCATGGTTATCCTGGTGGTGATGACAAGCTAGGGTACCGTTTATCTTGGCATGTCTTGGGGGGATGTTCACGTTCATGGCACATGGGTGATGACATCGCTAGTGAGCTCACACAACCAACCAATAAATGATTCACACATGGGATCATATTGTTTATTTGAAATGTGAAGCAATAGAATATTTTGTGTTAACTTATTCATGCCAAGGCCTCGGCTTAACTCTTGCTCGTCATATGTGCCCAAATGAATGATTTATAACCATCAATAACAAAAACCATGAAAGATATCAGGTTAATTCAGTGGAGGTTAATCAATAGTGTTTAATATTGTAATATTAATTATTTTTTAAAGTATTTTTTATTTGAAAATATATTAAAATATTTTTTTTAATATCAACATATTAAAATAATATAGAAATATTAAAAATATTTAAATAAAAAAAATTTAAATTTTACAAAAACTGTTACATCTGTAACTAACTGATTTTTTTAGATAATATTTAAGAATGAAATGCAAATCTCATTCCTAAATATATTAAAAATAAAATAAAAAATAAAAAAATTATTTTAATATATTTTTAAATAGAAATTATTTGAAATCATTATTTTAAATAAAAAGTTAATGTTGTTCAACTTTGTAATTGGCAGACGAGAAGGAAAAAAAAGGAGAGAAGATTTTATGTACCGTAATAATTATAACATCAAACGTGGTTAATAACTATAACTGACGTAATGCATAAGCTCCAGTACTACAGTAGTACGGCTCGTTGACTTTTATAAAAAAATTTGAAATTCTCTTTCTTCTAGCAAAAAAAATAAAACCAAACCTGGTTTTTCTTCTAACAAAAACATAAAACCAAACCTGGTTTTCCCTTCCTTTTTTTTTAATCAACTGATTTCTGAGAAAATAAAACTAAGTTGAACTATAATTAAGTCTCATTTTCAAAATAGTTATAATCTAAATATATATATTCCTTTTCTCTATGCTATCCTGTGGATATAACGTCGGCGACCGGTGCTACATCAGTTACCACTCATTGATCGGTGGACTAATAGGGCCGCTCAGGCAGACGCTCTTTCAAATTAACGGGCGTAAATGTATTTAAATAGAAACAAATTAGAGCATCATCGAAGTGCTAATTTCTTGGGTAAATGTTGAACAAGCCAGTATGTTGGTTAATCCATTTACATTATACGAAAAACTATAAAATCACCTCTTTTTTTGTATCCCTTCCTAAAACTCAATTTTCATAGATCTAGGAGAGAAGTCTTGTAAACTTCAGCAGTAGCAAGAGTTTAGAAGATAGTCGATACTGTACCTTCTAGTTTGATAACATCTAACACTGAACAGGCAGGTCCCTTGCGTTTGACACCAAAGGAAGATTAAATTCATTTATCATTCTTGATGCACAATGTTCTAGCCAAACCTGTACATTAGAACCTGGCTATCAGTTCCCCTTGCAAAAAATTAAACAGCCATGGGTTAGTCAGCAACATTACATATACTCAGGTTTTAAGGCCATAGAGAAGCACAATGCTAAAAAGAGTAACATTTTAACTTATTTATAAACCAAGTGTTAAAAAATTATATAGTTAATATTTTAGGGCCTTGTATAGTAATTTAAGCTTTTGAGTTCTGATATTTTTTTAAAATGATATTAAAATCTTACGATAATATAAAATCAGTGTAAGTTTTAAATTTAAAGAACTTTGATTGAAGATGTGTTTTTTATGCCAAGCAACCCTATCACACGTAGGTGTAAAGATCCATTCTCTTGCTCTAACGCTTAGCTCAGAAAACATTGTGACTACAAATGAATCTTACTCGATTAAAACTTTTTCAACTCAGCTCAAAATTCTTGAGCACTTTCTCCTACCCTGAACTTTTGCTCCGCTTTAATGTGAACAAACCCATGTGAATTGATCATAACAGCCACGTGTGGCTCTATAGCAACTGTAGTTCCATGTCAAACTACTTCTGAGATATTTTTATACTACGAAAGAAATTTGTGTTATAATGAAATATTAGCTGGAAATGCATTTCAACTGGTATATTTAAATTACGTGGGCTCTTTTTCAGAATTATCTTCAAGAGTCAATGTGAGGATTTTGGAGTACATGTCTAGTATTATGAAGAACACCACTTGCTTCTTCATTTGATAGGCGTCAAGCAACCGCAGTTCTTCGATTTCCTCCTGCCACTTCTCCATCTCTTCCTCGTGTATCCTTCGGTCACACCATAAAATTTAGAGAACATAGAATAACCATGGCTGCAACAGTATAAATTGCATTTAATATGATTTAGAACTCACATAATCAAGCGTTCTTCAAATTCATTCTTCATTTCCTTGAACATTGTTTTTCCTGATTCCTGCAACTTAACATCACACGTATATCATGTTAGCAAGCAGAAAATCTTCCTAGCCTTATAATGTCAATGAAAATTACACTTCCAACATATATAATTTGTCACCTCCTCTTAGTTCATGGTTTTTTCAAAAGACGAGCAAAAAATGGGAGATATTTTACATGCAGGATTTCGTGGATGACACACTTCATATAAAATATTCTTAAAATAAGAAGACAAAAAAATAAAAGAATTGAACTCTAACTACCATTTGGGTGAAGTGTTCGATCTTGTCAAAAATGTGAGCAATTTTAAGTTCCATCTCTGCAGATCCCACAATGTTCGTCTCAGTTTCGTCCTTCTCTAATTTCCTATTAACGTATCTCTTATTTACCTAGAGGAATTAACATCACAAGTACATCATGTTAGCAAGCAGAAAACGTTCCTAGCCTTATAATGTCAATGAAAATTCACCGTTCATGGTTTTTTCAAAACATTTATGTAACATCATAACATCACTTATAACAGATACACTAAAGTCAGCTGTAATATTTATTATGATAGTTAGTAGTTGTTTGGAATTTGTTGATTGCTACCGAGGCTTTCATTTCTTCTATAAATAAAAACAAAGACAGCGTAAGAGAGCAGAGGAAGACAGTGCAACTGTGAAATTAAAAAGGAGCAGATTTGAGAGAAGTATCAAGTATAAGAGTGAAATACTGAGTTTTGGAATTGTACTAAGGTTGAGTTGAGTATTTGTATCATTCCTTCAATAACATATAATCTGATGCCTCCATGGACGTACCTAGTTTTGAAGAAGTGTTTGTTTTCGTACCAGCATGCACATCAATATTTTACATGCAGGATTTCATGGATAACACTTCATACAAAATATTCTTAAAATAAGAAGACGAAAAAAAGAGAATTGAACTCTAACTACCATTTGGGAGAAGTGTTCGATCTTTTCAAAAATGTGAGCAATTTTAAGTTCCATCTCTGCAGATCCCACAATATTCGCCTCAGTTTCATCCTTCTATAATTTCCTATTAACGTGTCTCTTATTTACCAACATGAATTAACATCACAAGTATATCATGTTAGCAAGCAGAAAAAGTTCCTAGCCTTATAAAGTCAATGAAAAGGACATTTCCAACGTATATAATTTGCCACCTCCTCTTGGTTCATGGTTTCTTCCAAAGACGAGCAAAAAATGGGAGATATTTTACATGTAGGATTTCATGGACGCCATTTCATACAAAATATTCTTAAAATAAGAAGACGAAAAAAAGAGCATTGAACTCGAACTACCATCTGGGTGAAGTGTTCGATCTTTCCAAAAATGTGAGCAATTTTAAGTTCCATCTCTTCAGATCCCACAATGTTTGTCTCAGTTTCGTCCTTCTCTACAATCTCTAGAGTTGTTCCATCTATGACCTCTTGTTCGTTCACCTCCTTTTGAATAATATAACAATCATACACTGCTACGAAAAAAAATACAAATTGTCCATTAAAATTGAGGGAAAATGAAGGGTAAACAGTCATACAGCATGCCTCAAACGCTTCCTTGCTTCACCTTCCATCTCAGTTGTTGCTAGTCAAAGCTGCAGAAAGCAAGAAAATCATGACATTGCCTCAGTTCTCAATTAATAGTTAAATTGAAAGAATTACAAAAGATCTCATAAACAGGAAAAATAAAAGGATTGGATACGTTACAAAAATTGGAGGTCATAGAAAATGTCAGTATCTGTTCATGAGCAAAATTGGAAGAATATTTGCTACTTGTTGATGACACCTTTAAATAATTTGCTTCCTGCAGCAAATAGCAGGGGTGAAGTTCCGGATTTCAACAGAAGTTCACAACGGGTAGAAAGAAAAAGGAACACAAGGATCATCAATCTTGAAATCAATCACATGAAGCCGATAAGATCAACAACTAAACACTATTTAAACATGATCCAGGCAGAAAGAACGATGGCATATGCATTTTACAAGTCTTACCATAAAAAAAAACAAGAAGAAGATGAAGAAAAAAATCAACCAGGATTAAATAATTACAGAAATTAAAGTGTCCTTTATTTCAATAAAACTTACAAGCATCAAATTACCAATACCAGAGGAGGTATAGCATCTTCCAACGAGTCCTTGATTCACAAAAATCCTCTAAACAAAAGTCAACATTTCTAATTCAAGCTAAACGCAGCTATATTCACAGTAATTGGTATAATTATCCGAAAACTTGCGGTTATGTCTCTTCTGATCAGTAGATAATTAAAGGAGGAGATATTTAAAATGCGAGTCAATTCCTTGAAGCAGAAATGGTAAACAAAACCCTAAATTATTCAGAACTTGGAAGTAATATCAGCAATTTATGATAACAAACAAGTTTTTATCTATGTATTGTTCTGATCGAGAGAGGAGAATACTTAGATCTACGATTGATCTCGAACGTCGTGAAGCTAAAACAAGATCGGATCATCTACGGACAAAAAAACAAAACACAAATTAGCGTTCATTGATTGTAATAAGCATAGCCCGATTACCTTCAGTAGAATCGCAGCTCAGATGCCAGCGATGGAGGATACGCAGAGAGGGAGAGATTTGTGATTGTTGGAAAAGTGAAGCTGTTTGGATGAATAGCCCCGGTTTCTTTTTGAAAACTTGGAACAAGTTGCGATGCGCGGGAATTATATTTGCCGCTACCGTCGGGGTAGAACTCGGGATAAAACGACGACGTTTAAAATGCTTTTAATTTCTTTTCCGTCTTTCACTTTGGTACCACGAGTTTATTATATTTTGACATTTAAATTTTTTTTATGTTTTATTTTGTTTTAAATTAATATATTTTTTATATTGTCAAGTTATTTTAATGTATTAAAATTAATTTTTAAAAAATAAAAAATATTGTTTTAATATATTTTAGAATAAAAAACACTTTAAAAATTAACCACAATCACACTTTTAAACATGTTTAATTTATTTTTTATAATTTATCATAATAAATTAATTATTTCATATAAAAAATAATAAATATTCTTTTGCTTAATATTAACCATGATTGATTTAATAATATTTTACTCTAAAAACATATCTTCTTTTCTCCTCAATATTTATATTTCATTTACCTTTCTCCCTTCTATTTCTTAAAAAGAAAAATTCAAAAATAATATAAAGGGTACAAAAATAATTGACTTATAAATAGATTTAAAAACATGAAGATTAAATATATAGTTTTAAAAATCATGATGAAAATACTCCTAAAATAAAATTTAATTATTACTTTATCACTTGGTTGAAGCAGTTTCATCTAAAAATAAAAGCAAAATAAATTTTTAATTGAAAATATTTATAGATATAGTTAGTTAGATTTGAATTCATAATTATATCCAAATTAACTTTTAATATTTTAAAAATTTATAAACATGAACAATTTATTTTTTTCAGTCTTAAGTAAGTTGAATATATCTATTATAGCAAAAAAAATTATGGATATTATAAATATAAATATCAATGTGTTGGATTTATATTGCTAATTTCATGAGTTAAACTTAATTAAAAGTAAGATTTAGGTTTAATAAATTATTCTAAAGAACATATTATAATAAGTTGTGACAAATAATTTAGACTTAATATATTAATCAAGTTAATTAACTAAAATGAAAGAATCAATTGAAAAAAAAAACATATAATAATAAATTAAGTTTGTTATCATAGGATATAAGTTAAACTAGGCTTATCGAGTTTTAAAAAATTTAACCTATTATATGACCTGTGATATCAATTTTTTAAATTTTTTGATATATTATCATTTATTATATTTATATTATTTGACTTTTATGGGTTAGGTTGGGCAAAATATACAAATATTACAGATATATCAGGTTTTTTTAACACTCCTATTTTTAACTCAAATTTGACCGTCTAATTAAGGATATCATGACACGATTCTAGTAATTAATAAGTTCTTCCTCTTATTGTACGTAACAACATCCCATCATCTGCGAGAAAGTTCAACATCCCATCATCTGCGAGAAAGAAGAAAACTTTTAATTCTTTGAAATTTCAGTTTTATAACTTTCCTCCTCTTGTACTATTCAGCCACAAATTTTATGCATTTGGATTGCTTATCAATTAACCGCTTCACTACTTGCTCATTCTTCCACAGTTCTTTCCAATTGCAACCTGTTATTAATAGATTTAGAACGAGTTTGTTTTTATATTTTAAAAAAATTAAAATTTTATTATTATTTTCAAATCATTTTAATATAATGATGATAAAAATAAATTTTAAAAATAAAAAATATTATTTTTTTATATATTTATAAATAAAAAATACTTTAAAAAACATTTATAAAATACACTTCCACGAGTTACAAGCCACAACACTAGCTCGACCAATCAATCACTTGGTATGTGCTCGAGGGCTCTCCACATGTAATATCTCTTTAGCCATTGACGCCCCTTTGATTTCACGGGCTGGATGGATTTGATTAAAAGTGCCCACGACAGTCAAAAACAGCTTATTTGAGGACCAAAATGCTTACCTCAACAATAACCTTTAATTTGAACTATAATATTTGATCCAAACATTTTTATTATATTATTATTAATAAGAATATCCAGATCAAATTATAAATACTACAATTAATTTTATAAATTTTAAAATTAATAATTATATAAATATTCAGTAATCTTAAGAGAACTCTAACTTCTAACTATTAAAAAATAAATTAAAAATCTGGCTAGTTAAACTAAAATATAAAAATAATAACAGTTGAATATTCTTAATTTTCTAGAATGGTGCATGGATTAATATTGACATAATAATATTGTGAAAGGAGGACATATAACAAGGATATATTCTTGACCAAATCCTAGTTAGAGAAACTTTTATAGTGGAGTTTAAAGTATTATTTATTTTTGTATTTTAAAAATATTTTTAAAAAATTTAAATTTTTTTATTTTAAATTAATATTTTTTAAATATTTTTAGATTATTTTGATATTAATTATATCAAAAATAATTTTTAAAAAATTAAAAAAAATATTATTTTAATATATTTTAATCATGTCTACCGTAATTTGCAAGATTCCTACATAAACGAGTAATGTTAATTTTATCTTAAATTTTCTTCTTTATTTTTTCAGTTCATCTGAAGGCTTGTTGGGCCTTGCGTGACCATTGATAGTCCCCTCCATTGCATAACAATCAGATAAATTAATAAACTAATCATTAAATAATACTGTAGAAATCATGGAGAAGGTATTGTTTTTTCATGTCGTTGTTCAATTAAGAAACAAATAATTGTGTATTATATAATGATTTAAAAAAAAATTATTTCATTATTATAGGTCCGAATTAATGATTAATTAAAGCATATTTAATGACAAGATTCAAGGATAGGGAACTAGGATAAGAAAAAATAGAAAATAAAATGGTTTTCTAAGCTTATTTTTCGGCTTATTAGAGGTTATAAAAATGTTTTAAAAGGTACTTAGATGTTTATTTGGTTTTTCTAGTTGAAATATTATTGAAAATAAACTTTTTTTGGTTTAAACCAACCTAATTTTCCAGCAACCAGAGTTCATTATAATTTAAGCATTGTAAACACGTGTTAACTGTTAGTTTTTTCAAAGCATTAAGAGGCTCTCGAGAAACTTTTGTTAAAAAATAAAATTAGACACATGAATTGCTCCAAGAGTGCACGCATAAGCTTTTTTCTAGAGGTCGAGGGACTCTAGGTTTTTCAAATTTGAGAGACTAGATATTTTTTGTTTTTTTATTATTTTTACCCACTACAATTGTGTGTGTTTTTAATTTTATTATTTAATAATACTTGATTAATTATTAATTGAGCAATATTATTATTTATTGTGGTTTAATTTTTTTAATAGTCATCTAATAGTCATGAACTCTCTTCGGTTCTATATATTTAATTCCTCTTTTACTTCTGTAGTGGAATCTTGCTTAGGGAAATGAATGTTGTGAGCGAGCGGAGCGGTGCGGTCCAATATCTATTTTTCTTTTTAGAAAAGAAAACGAAAGAAAAGTCTACTCTCCCGCGTAGACATCAATGGGTGGGCAACACGTTCTAAAATTTATTAAGGTGTAATTAAGTGAAAAATGGTCATATTTTTTATTATTATTTATATTTGTTTAATTTTAATTTTTTTAAAAAACTTTTTAATTTATTTTTAATAAGGTTATCATAATTTCAAATAAATATTATAAATTATTTTGATTCATGATCAATTTTATAAGTATTTATTTTATTAAGATATAATTAAATAAAAAATAGTTTTTTAAAATAATTTATAACCAATTGAGTTTATCACTCGGATTAAGTTGTGAAACCTAGGTAAATTTAATATATTGTGATATTAATATAAAAAATTATTTTAAATTATTTTTTAAAATCAAACTATATTATTTTACTAATTTTTTAGGTTGTATTTGAACTTGTCAATTTGATTAGTTCATGTTAAAACAAGCCCTCCCCAATTTAATTTTATACTCGAGTGAATTAAGTAACGAGTTAAATGAAAAAATTTTAAAGTTAACTTATTGGACTGAATTTAATAATAATATTAAATAATTTTTTATAATTAGTTTTTTTATGCTTAATTTTTTTTATTCAAATTATATGTCATGACCTTGTAAACTAGTTGGGATGAAATACGATTACATAGTTTTTTTCTTCTTCTTCTTTTTTTTTTTCCAATCATTCATTTAAATGAATATTATGCAAGTAAAAATAAATGAATGAATGAATGGCAAATTGATTTATTTTACAAAGTGTAATTGTAGCCCCAAGATCTTTTACAATGTCTTTTTTTTCTTATCATGCTCTGCCGATAGATGCTATTAGAGGAATTAATAGTAACGAACTCTCTTCGGTTCTATATATTTAATTCCTCTTTTACTTCTGTATTGGAATCTTGCTTACGGAAATGAATGTGGTGAGTGAGCGGTGCGGTGCGGTGCGGTCCAATCCCTATTTTCTTTTTAGAAGAAAAGGGAAAGAAAAGTCTACTCTCCCACAGAGACATCAAGGGGCGGGCAACACCTTCTCAAATTATTAAGGTGTAATTATGTGAAAAATAGTTATGTATTTTTTTAATATTTAATATTTATTTAATTTTAATTTTTTTAAAAAAATTTTAATTTATTTTCAATAAAATTATTCCAATATCAAATAAATATCACAAATTATTTTGAACAGTGATCAATTTTATAAGTATCTATTTTATTAGGGTATAATTAAGTAAAAATAGTTTTTTAAAACAATTTATAACCAGTTAAATTCATCACTCAGATTAAGTCGTGAAACTCGGGTGAATCTAATATATTGTTATTTTAATATAAAAAATCATCTTAAATTATTTTTTAAAATCAAATCATATTTTTTTATTAATTTTTAAGTTATATTTGAACTTATTAAGTCGATTAAATCATGTTAGAGTAAGTCTCACCCAATTTAATTTTAAATACAAGTTAATTAATGAGTTAAATGGAAAGATTTCAAGGTTAATTTGTTGGGCTGAATTTAATAATAATATTAAATAATTTTTTATAATTT